AACCCATAAAGCCCTTGATCCAATGAACCCCACCTCGGAGTCGGTGGGCCGCCTTTGAGTCGCCCAAGCCGGGGCTTTCTTCGGGGAGGGACACGGCTTTTGGGGCCTTTTGGGGCTTAAGGTCTTTAGGATTTCTAGGATTTAGGGCCTAGGGCTTTGGGTTTTTAGGATTTTTGGGATCTAGGGTTAGGATGTAGGGTTTAGGATTTAGGGTTTGTAGGCCTTAGGGCTTTAAGCTTTAGGGCTTAGGGTTGAAGATTTATAAGTTTCGAGGCCTAGGATTTAAGTTTAGGGCTCAAAAGAAAAACGCAGAAAAAGTAGGATCCCATTGACATTGAGGATCCTAAAATTCGGGGTTTTGAGGCCTACCAGGATCCTTTCATTCGGGTGTAGGACTTGATATAGGGGCCTTAATCATTAGAATAGAGGTTTTGGGCCGATTATACTTATAATTATAATGAGGAACCCCCACAATATTATTATAGGTAATTATTTATGCCCCTATATTGGGGCTTAGGGTTTCCATGCTCACACTTGCATTAGGCAGGCAAGGCTGCACATAGTCCGCAGGATCACGCATGAAACCATCGCAAGCAAACTAAATGCAGGCATAGCACTACTTCTGCAGATCGGGGCATGTGCCCGCTGTTTCAAAACAAATTCATCGCCTAGGGCTTAGAGAGCCGGGACCCACATTTACACATATGTATATATATATATATGTATATATATGTATATATATGCACACACACATAAGCCCATCTAACCCGGTTTTGACGATGCAGACTCTCGAGTTTACGGTACTTATTTCAGGCTCTGGGGCTCCAACTCTCGGAGCTGATCTCGGGTATCTTTTCTCCAGGGATGTGAAGGTTTGGGGGTTAGAGTTTAGGGTTCCTTTAAGGGGATCTATAAAGGTACTATAATGGGGTTTAGGGTTCAGGGTCTGTTTCTCTGACTCTGACTGCGGGATTAAGGTTTTGGGGCTCAGGGTGCAGTGCAAACTCGGGGAAGGATCCCACCGACTTGAAAAGGACGCATGCAGGAGATTCCTGTTGCAAATGCTTTCGCGGTGCCGCTGTGCAGTTGGTGATGTTCATGCTGAATCCCCCATGAAGTGCTGCGAAAAAGTACACAAGACGAACTAGCACGATGCCTAAAACCTGTCAGGACGTGCACCGGATAGCATGTTGAGCTTGGCAGGCTTCTCTGGATACCCGGATTGTTTCGGGGGGAATCTTCATCGATTCGTCGATCCGTCTGTCTGCATGCTTTCTGCTACTCGAACACGAGGACGGAGCGCTGGAAGTACTGAAACCGACGAGGACGAGAAGCTGAGACCACCTGATGCATTATACCGCAAAGTGCTAGCGGTGGTAGTAGCCACCTCTAAGTACGCACTAAATGTGATGAAGATCAAACCCCGAGGGCCATGGCAAAGCAAAAGCTGCAAAGAACAACACTAGTTCCTGCTACTGTGTTCGCGCGGCTTCTTCTGATGTATAGCATGCAGGCATGAAAGCTTGTTCGCCGTCCTTTGCACCTCTGAAACGGTGGTTCAGGCTTGATTCGGACTAGGGTGATCTTGAATGTGCACACACTTGACTAGGACCTGACTGCCACCCACCACTTGACAAACAAAACCACGCAGCTAGGGCTTCACTATATGTCAAGTCCTGTGGATGCGGCGGTCGCTCTACATCAATCATACCGCCACAGCCATGCTGCTGAATGGCAATACCGTATTTCTCTAGTTGCAAAACTCTTTCGGCTCTGAACCCCTTAGCGCCCCTGAACCCTAAACCCTCCCTAAACCCCTTAACCCCTAAACCCTCTCTCTCTCTCCCAGGCATTCGATACGTCAAGCCCGGCTGTAGAGCCCCTAAACCCTAAACCCTCAAACCCCTGAAGCCCTAAACCATCTGGATATCGGGCCTTCCCCCGAAACGGTCGGATTGGATGAGATCGCTCCCTCACTCGGGGGGCTGGTCCGGCATGACCCAGAAAGGCTCATCTTCGGTCTTAAGCCTGCGGCTGGGGGGTGCTTAAAAGGATTTAGGGTTTAGGATGTAAATTAGGACTTAATGCGGTTTATAAGGGGCGGCGCTTAAACGGATTTAGGACTTCAGATTTAAGGTTTAGGGTTTGTAAGGGTTTCGAGTTTAGGGTGTTGGGATTTTTCATGCTGGGCCGAAAATACGGCTGAGGGTTTAGGGTTACTCGAACCTTTACATCAAGCTGGCCACAAGTTAAGCGTTGATCGAAACAAAGCTGAGAGAGCTGTTTCCAGCCATACTACACACGACACAACGCGAGTGGAAGTATTTCATCCGAAATCGTCAACATGAAGGCCCGGAGTGGTCAAAACAAGGGCATCGGCCGTTTTTCTATGCAATGCTTCAGAAAGAATTGCTCATGCGATGGGCCATCTTGTTTCGGAGTATAGCTTAGACTTCAGACTTCGGGCAAAGCCTGGGGCGTGGGGTTTATATAGGGCTTGCAAGGAGCATGTCCAGCACGGTCATGGGCAATTGCGGCTGCTTGTTTGCAGGAAGGATGATAACGAAACCCTGAAACCCCAATATCGGCTTTGCACCTCTAGCCTTTGGAAAACCCAAGCCCTGCAGACCCTAAGCCCTCAGCAAACCGAAACTATCAAGAATGATCCCTGAGCCCCTATGGCATCCCCCAAAGGTTCGTCCGAGCGTCGGGAAAAAGCCGTTGAAGAATGCCTTCGGCATCCAGGGGCTTAGATTGGGTACGGCCCCCATACAGTAACAGTCTATAATAGGGCTACTATTAAGGGGTTATATATACATATATATATATATATATATATATATATCTATCTATCTATCTATCTATATTATGAATATTATCCAACTGTTTCTGAGTGGGGGCCGTACCCAAGGCTTAGACTTAGCAGCTGAAGGCTCGGTGCGATTTGTGGGCCCACGGTTACATCTTATAACGCTTTTCAGTATGGGCTTGGACTTGGACTGCGTGCCAGCTCTGTTTGTAAGGCCAAACCCTAAGCCCTGAGCCTCAACGACCCTAAACCCTAAACTCTATAAGCCTTACACTTGCAATCGTACACTCTTAACGCTAAATCCTTAAACCCTCAGCCTCAAATCCCAAGCCCTGAAACGTGGTAAAGCAGAGGCAGGAAAAGCTCTGTGCGTTCGACCCTACTTCTCCTAATAAATGACCCTTTGAACCCCCTTTTTTTTACACCTGGACTTGATGAATGCCAGCACCCCACTGAGCACAACACCCTAAAGCTTGAACCCTTTGCAGCATGGGCTTGGATTGTGTGTCGGCGAACACTCCTCAACAGCAGGGCCTTCTCGTTTCACGAGGGATAGAAACCCCTAAACCCTAGAACCACCAAAAACTGCCCGAAGGCCTAGGCTGTGGAAATAAGACCCCTGAACTTCTCACTTGCATGTTGGTTGAGGGTCCCTCTTACAATCAAAGTACATAGGGTTTTGGGCAGGCATGGTATGGCTTTATCGGGTCTATGAGGGTGTATTGTTACTACTTGTCCAAGATGAGCAAACCGTGAGAACAGCAACAAGGCTGCTCCGCGGAAGGGGCCTTTTGTGTCTGGGGTTTTATGGTTTTATGATTGCCGCCGAATCTGTCGATGTCATGGAAAGTTATAACGAAGGATATAAGCATCTTCATGCCGAGGCTTCAGGACTTGTATTTGGGAGTTTCCGAAAACTAGGGGTACCTTTTAACTCTATTAGGGTCCCCTATTTTTGGAAACTCCCACCAATACCTCGTAGGACTTTTACCAAAGCTGCCTTCAAACTCGAACATCCCGTAATGTAGGACCCTCGCCCTGAGGGTCCATGTAACTAAATAGTATATACTTTGGCCTTAAAGTACTCCCTATATAGGTACATTGGGCCCAAAGTATCTACTATTTGGGTACATGGACCCCTTAGGGCTGGTTTTAGGGCTCGGTTGCAGAACCCTGGTATGATGCAAGGCATTAGAAAGCATTCCGGAGCCACTGCGACCTTGGACACAGTAGCCCAAGATTCTTGAGTTGAGTAATCGCCTTTCGAAACATTGCACTTCTGAGCCCAAAAGCCCGGCCACATGGGAGTTTCCGAAAATAGGGGGCCTTAGTATAGTACCCTAAATGGTAGGATCCTTATTAAAAGGACCCCAAAACAAGGTACCCCTAAATTCGGAAGCTCCCATATGCCATATCAGACATCCGATGCCAAATAGCGTTTTTCCAGCCCCAAAGCAATCCCCTGCACCCAGACCCCAAACCCTCAAGTGGACCCTTTTCCAGCAGGCTTCTCTCCCCGAAACCAAATAGACCCTAAACCCTGAACCCTGTGCCCTAAACCCCCAAACTAGGGTTCCCGAGTCCATCCCAGGGCCCTGGCGGTGAGAAAGCCTCGGCCGACAGTCGCGCTAAACTTAACTAACCAGTGGTTGTGGGGTTCCCTTGGCTCTTTAGCTCCTTATTTAATAGGGATTATCATCATCCCTGGCTCCTTAGCTCCTCCAATATCAATGGTTAGTTAACGTGTTGGGTTTGTTCTGTGATCCCGGGGGCCCGTGAAGAGGACAATTCTCAACTTTGGGCTCCTCCCGAGAATCAATGACGGAGAAGGCCCTGGACCCTAAGCTCGACCTTCTTCCGAGAAACTCGACATGTCAGGCCTGAAATCAGCCACAAGCATGCAGCAAATACAAAGTACAAGAACCAATGTGCAGAATCAAACTCGTACTCGGTCCTTTGCTCTGCATTGTAGGCAATAATATGTTTTACCATAATAAGACACTACAGTACTAATATGCTATACCATAATAATATACCCTAGTAATAAGTATACAAAGCTCACAATGGCCAGAACAATCGGTAGAGTGCGGCTTCAGGAAGGCACGAAGCGTGCAAATCGTGTGGGTCCTGCTGTGCACACGTCCTGGCTATCCCATCATGGGGATGCCTATACCACTGTCATCTTAAATCCTCAGGTATGGTGGTGAAAGCCTGAACCTGCAACGAGACTCTTTTGAGCTAAGCAACTGAAACGGGTGCTCTGCGGATAGTGCATGTGCTTGGAAACCATACCACCGTCTGGACCACGGACACAGTTCCTCCAGTAGTACCTGGCCAGGGCATCACAGCAAAACACGCATAGCGCACACCAACCAGCAGCAGCAGCAGCAGCAGCAGCAGCAGCAGCAGCGGCACCGGCATCAGCACCAGCAGCAGCACCAGCACCAACAACAACACCTAACAGTCATGATGACGGCAACAGCCGTCACATCGTGAAAATTGCTCGTTGGCATCTTCGTGATCTCGCCCTAATTCTGTCATCCAAACTATGAAGCGCACAAGTTCATGCGACTGCAGACTTTTGGACCTTGCTTTTGGTAACAAGTGGATGAGAAGTAGAATAGTAAACAAGCCCAGGCAAGAAGAACAATACTCGATATGGCATGTGCTACAGCAACGCTGTTAATAAAGGGTCTTTGCAGGCTTTGGGGATGGTGTCACAATGCCTCACTACGATTTCCGCAAGGCATGCCGTGAGATATATGTCCCGGGTGAGTACTTACGATGATGAGAAATATGCTTAACTTTTGATATGCCTTTGCTGACTTGAAGTTGCACGGACTGCGCTTGATTAGTCGTGGTCACCGTATGAACTACCAGTAACTGTCATCGCTCTGTGTCATGCGAAGTTCAACTGCTGCAGTTCGTTGGCGGAATTGCCACCATCTTCAAGGGCGCTATAACTTCTGTTTTTGCTGCTGGCTCCTGCTTCACCGAGACATGCCGACGACTGGGAGACCTTGAATCCTACAGCGCAGTGCTGGCGACCTCTACGAATCTATATTCTGCATACATACAACCACTGGGGGGAACGATAAATGAGGCACGATTCGAAGGCTTCTCTGGTTTTCTACAGTTCGACTCACCCGCGCTCTCTGAGGTACCATCGGGCCACGTCCCTAATGCCTAAACATAAATCCCAAAACCTCAAAAACTGAATTCCGAAACTCCAATGCCTTGGACCTCAGGCCCGAATATGAAGCTGAGGCCAGGACAGCTCGACGAAAAGGACGGTGAACCTCGAGCTGTTGGCTTTACGGAGGCAACAGACGGAACAAAAAAAGAAAAAAACACATATACACACAGAAACCATCACCAACATATAGAGAAAAACATCGAGATAGTTCCAAGGATACCTGAAGGCTTCGGGAAGGGTGTGCTGACAAAGGTCTTCCCAAGACAACTACCAAGTAGGCTTTTGGGGCCGGCTGTCTGGTCTTCCCCGGCAGCTTAAACAGGATCTACGAAATGGACTCCCCCACAAGGTGTCCAAAGCATCATGGATCAAGATAAGACTTGTTTTCAATTTTGAAGTATTGGAATCCCTTGCATTTTCGGGGTTTCGGGAGCTTCTCATTCCAAACCCCAAAGAACCTTCAAAGTCGAAGCATTGCTCGCTGGCAGAATCAGAACCCTGGGCTGCGTACGTCAGGGCGATTGCCGTCACTGTTGCTCACTTCTCTTGCTTTGAGGCGACACTCTTCTCTTTTCATACTTCTAGCTATCTGTAGCTGCTATATGCACATGAATTCCGCAGGAGAGACGACAGGAACCGTCATCATCGTCATGCGGCAACTGGGATCTCCTATGTATGGGAGTACAGCGGGCTCCCGCTTTGTTGTTGGGTGGTTTTACACGGAACCTAAGACTACACAAAAGGAAAATGGGCTCACAGGGAGACCTCGGCAAGAATTATACTACTGAGCAGCTGCAACATCAGAAAACCTGCACCCTTTTTGTTGGAGCCCGGAGCTCTATCCGATCAGGTGGGAGGCCTGAAACTGTAACCCTTTTCGCCGCTGGGCTTGGGGACTAGGCAGACCCTTTTGCATCCAGGCCTCTTGAAGTCTTGCCGGGGAACGGCGAATGCTGTAGCACTCAGCCAGACCCTAAACCACAAAATCCGGGCCTATGATTCTACTAATGGTCGGTGCGACTCTTGAACTCATTGCAAACACTTCGGCAAGCGACGCTATCACCAACAGAAGCTTGAAGGGGATGAAGTTCGCAAGCTCCATCCATGACCAATCCCGCTTCAGCTTCTCTTCGTACTCCTGTCCGCAATCGGCCGAGCGGGCACGTGTCGAAACAAGTGCATTTGCGAGTTTGAAACAGCACTCAAAAGAAGAATCACCGCAAACAAATCTGCAATGGTCATACGGTTGATGGGCAGAACCCTGCATCATACATAACCTAAGTCCCATCGTTTAGAGCTTGATGTCGCTTAAGGCAGCAGGGTTTAGGGTGTAGGGTTTAGGGGCAGAATTGTGTCTATCAGCAGTAGCTACTATACTGCACTTACGCAGGTTCGGTCAGCGTGGAGCACAGTGGCTGATCAGATCTGCTGCGGAGAATGTCCAGTGCTACAACTACCTGCTGACATCACTCGAGCCTGAGCAGCTCCAAAATAGTCAGAGGCTTCGGTAAGGTTTTGGACGGGTGTGGGGGACTAACGTGCCCCAAAATCATAAGAATAGAGGCACTGGATCTTTAGGGTTGAGGACTAAGGGGCTTAGACTTTGTCAGTCTCCGGTGCGAAGAGTCTTTCAGGTGTTGGGAAGTACGATGGAGAAAGCAGGAGCCCGAAACACCAGTCCTCCAAGAGCTCACTGTCCTTCATCTGTTCAACCGTGTTGGCCTGCATGATGCATTGGGGTTTAGGTTATAGGTTAAGGCTAGCGGCTACAATTTTTTCCCGTTCTAGGCATTTGGTGTTTCGTTTCAGGTTTCTTAGGTTTAGGCATTGCACGTGTTTTTGCTTTCGTTGTTTTTGAAGTGGCCAGAAGAGCATGGGCGATTTATCGAGGCCGGTTCATGATCGTGGCGTTGTCTTGGGCGACCCCCTGTGCTGTCCGACGCTGGTGCACTGATGTCAGCAAGAACTAGAAGCACTGCTACATCAAGTCCGGGAGCGGCAAATTTGTAGCAAAAACTACGGTCTTCATCATCATCATCATCAGCAGATCCGTAGCCAGAGAACTCTGGTCACTTCGCAAGGGCAATGAGCAAAGCCCTCCGGGGCGAAGCCTCCTCATAGCCTTGCAGCTCGTAGTCTTCGAGCATGTCCTCGGGCGCTTGGATTCTGATCCCATCCCATGAAACAAAACAACAGTGACTGATACTAAGAATAACAATGACAACAGCAATACTAGCAATACTACGAGTATGAATACTGTACACGGGTAACACTAACAATGATGGTCATCATAAATACAACAATAAGACTGATTAGGAAAATCATAATAGTAACAACACCATGTCGAAGAAACACCGGTACCAGCACTTAATAATACGACCGAGCACCAAGGCCGCAATTACGACTGCGGGAAACAGAAGGTAGGTTTCGTTTGTTTTGCCACCCAAAGACCCACTAGACCCAAGAGTAACCTAGGAATAAAAAGGGTGCCCTTTTTGGTTTAGCGGGGCCTATAAGGGAATAAGGGCCTACTGCAGGTCCTAGCCCAACTATGTGTATGGCGGCTCAACTACACTCGGCTTGTTTCGCAACCTGCCAAATCCGCAAGACAAAGCAACCCTTGCTCCGAACCAAAAACAGGATCCCTGTTCTAGAGAACCCTACAACAAAGCCGAATAAGACATCCGCATTTGAGCAGGGGCTCCATATTATCACAGTGGGGGAATGAAGCAATCTGAAAATTGAACGCCTCCGGGCTTTGTACAACAATCTGGCCTGAGGTTGTTGCTATGACTACACCCCTTGATGATATTACACCGCACGAGAGAAAAGATGATCAGTTTCACGAGGCAGTCGACAAAACAACAGCTCGACTCAAGCACCAATAAGCCACTGCCACTCTCTACTACAACCCATCTCGATCGCCGTCGCCCTGTGAAGTTGCACGCCAGGCGGCGACAATGGCCTTGTTGGTCTCGGTCCTCACATCACTCTCCCTCTCTCTCATTTCTCTTTCACATCGAAGAATAGGAGCATCACAGGTTCGGCGAGCCAACCGCCGATCGTGTGCTGCTGGTTTGGGAGTTGTGGGTTCAGGGCTCATCCGGACTTATACGGTAGGTCCATAGGCCAGGAGGCTGGCACAGGGGAAATTCGGGTCCAGGACGGCACATCGACAAGTAAAATCGATGGACCAGCAACTATAAGTTACATTGAATCGAGCCGACATCTACGAGATACCCACACCGATTACGATCTGACAAACAGGTCAGAACAACGTGGGTGTTCACTGTACCCAAGTCTCTGCGACTTATTGCTGATTCAAATGTTGAAAACCTGTGAAGAAGCACAGTCTCATGACATGGTCTGCCTGTCACACCTGGTGTGTGTTCTTGGAGTCGAGGCAGTGTCTGTTTTTATGTCGGCTTGTGGAACAATGACGCAAATCCGTCATTCTGTCTGTGCTTTCAGCATCACAGCTGGGTTGGAGCAACCGAGGATCGGCCTAGACTTGCTCAGGTCAGCAGCCTGTATCTAGAAATCTGGTAATCGTCTTTCGTTATGCTGTACTACGAACATCAGAATCTAACCACGAACACATACCGTATTATACCTGGCGTAGAGAAGTCTGAGGAGAGCCGCGTCGGCACAAAAACCAGGAGAAGTCTACAGACCAATTTCTATGTTTGTGTTAGCATTTGCCCGTGTATCTGAGCCTGAGAAAGCTAAAATGAAACTGAGCAGGATGAAAAGTCTGAATGTACCTGAACGGGATCCAGACGTGCATGGAAACACTGAGGCTCAAGCATCAGCTCACTGCAGAGAAGCTCATCGATTTGAAGGATGAACGCCTTGCTGGAACGATGTTCGGGCTCTTATGTAAGTATACATACTCCTTTCCCGGCACACTGGAAGGCTTTAGGGCTGTAGACCTCAGCATACCTCAACGCTCCTTCGTTGGTGATTTCGGAAAGAGTTTAGAGAAGGAATGTACCTTGCTGAATTCAATGATTCTTGGAAGCCTCTTGCCACCTGCACTCTCAGCAAGATTTGCCGCAAGAAGCTCTGCACACACTCGCTAGTTACACTCCACTTCGCCTCATGTTCCCTAAAGCACGTCACGCAAACCCAAACCCTAAACCGTTGAGCAATACTAGGTTTTTGACGGGGATAACCCTTTAGAAGCACAAAAGCAAGATTCATTTTATGTACGGTTTGGATACACATATTGACACGATTGATGGATACACACCCAAACGAGATATGATTGAGAGGTATGGGTTTCAATACGATTTGGATACAATTGAAACAGTCGTGCCAGTAGTGCAATGCACCGATACGCATGTCAAAACGTTCTGGCATGGGCCTTGGTTGACCCGAATGGCCTCAGACTTGCCTGACCGTTCCTGCACTTTGTCTTGTTGATGGCTTCGCACGTACAGTGGTACAGTGCTCGGCAAAGCCTGGGAGCTATAGTGCTGTATGGTGGGGTGGGGTGGTGGGGGTGCCGTGGGGCTGGGCTGGGCTGGGCTGGGCTGGGGGGTGGGGGGTGGGGGGTGGGTGGGGCGGGCGGGCTGGGGCGGGTGGGGTGGGGTGGGGTGGGGTGGGGCGGGGTGGGGCAGGGCGCGCGGAGTGCCTCCTACAAAGTGTATCGGTCAGCAGGGCAACCCCGAAATCGTATCGAAAATCGTGTCGCCAAATCGTATAGGCTGGAACCCTCCTTTAGTCGAGTCTATTTGTAGTCTTCCAGCGATACGTTTTGGCGATACGATTTTCGATACGATTTGAGGGTTCCCTCCTTTGGACCGATACGGTTTCCGATACGACTCCGGAGCACCCTCCGCCAGACCGATACGATTTCCGATACGACTCCGGCACACCATCCGCCAGACCGATACGATTTCCGATACGACTCCGGAACACCCTCGCCGGACCGATACGATTTCCGACACGACTCCTGCGCAACCCCGCTCCACCAGTACGACAGCCGACCCTGCGACTGAGCAGCCGGAGCACGCTTCCCTGCCACTGCAGAATTGAAACGTCTTGGACTAAACCGACTAGCTGCTGACTATAGCTTGACCAAACTCAGACCCCCGACTTTGGCGTCCCTGAACTGTGCTGCGCTTGCCCGACCTACTCCACGCAAGATCTTGGAGCCGCCAAGAGAATGCGTATGGGAAAGCGTTCACTGCCACTGCGCACCAACAAAAGGCACCCGATGTGGATCCATGTATTCAAACCGAAAACCGTATCTGCCGATTGTATCGACTCAGCTGGTGTATCTACCGATTGTATTGAAACCGTATCGGAAACTGTAACGAAAAAATATTCATGTATGTGTCTGTTGTCTACACTTATTACATCTTAATACTAGGTCCTGCAACAATACCCCAGACCCTAAGCCCGAGACCCTGAAGCGAACTCCGCAACAACAAAAACCTAAGCTTGGAAAGCTCTTAGACTCCTGACCCAAAGCATCGAGCCGTAATCGGACCGCCAAGCAAGGTCTGTCTCTTCTGTGCCGGGGTCAAGCAACGCCAACGCTCATGCTGACGGTGGTCCCACTCCAGACTCCCAAAGTATTATCAATCTGGCTTTGCGCTCTCGCAACTCGGAGGCCGCCAAACGAGGTCTCTCGATTCAGAAGTGCATTGACTGGTCAGACTAGAATCGCTGACAATCAATTATACACAACGAGGAGAAAGTTGAAGACTACAAAACGAAATATGATACGGGTTTATTTAGGGCTGTACACTAACCAAGTTGAAGGGAAGCTTCTTACTCCACACCCCTGCTGAGCTCCATAGTTAGCCTACGGGCGCTGCCACTGGCGCCCAGTGTTGGCTAGTGGAAATGCAGTTGTTGGCAGATAGTAGGCACTGCAAAGAAGGAACCTCAAACCCAAATCCAGACCCCCTTTGGAGGATCCAAAAAGTAGATCCCTTAATGTGGGTTCCTATAAAGTACCCTTAGTAGTATAGGGCCCCAAATTAGGGGATCTACTTTCTAGATCCTCCCGGGGGTCTGGGAATCTGTAGCCTGAAGCACCAGGGACCAAAGCCAAGATGCCAGAGCTACAGAGTTGACAACCAGATCGTCAATAGTGGAGGTCTCCTTGAGGGGAGTGCTTTCCGGGCTGGGGCTTTAGAGCATGGGATTTCGCGGTTTATTTAGAATACAATGCTATAGCTTTGAGACACACCGGATGAGTTTAGGGGCTCGGGGTTTAGGGATTAAGGGTCTATGTATGGATGTGAGCAGTTTGAGACCTAAGCTGTCGTGTCTTCGCTGCAGATATCTCGAATCAATCCCCCCCGGGCACCAGTCTGGCTACTATGCTGCGCCTGGCACGTCAAGTCGCGACACCATAGCGCGACACATACCGAACGCGACGCCCCTAAACCCCCAAACTCTAAATCCTCGAGCCTGAGCCACTGAGCCTCATCATGATCCTAATGACCTTAAGGTAAAGTATAGAGGATCCCAGCAGCAATCATCCTATATCCATATTCCAAGGTTCTGGGGCTCACCATAAACCAGTACAGCTTGAAGCTCGATGGCACGAATCCCGAGCAGTGCTTGCACACTGGTCCAAGACAAGCAGCCATGAGGAAGGTAATACCGGCTTGGGCGGTTAGGCTCCAAAGAAGCAGCTTCGGAAGAACCACCAAGAAGACGTTGATGAACCTCAAGCTTTACATGTCTTGAGGGTTTAGGATATGAATGGATTTGAGACTTTGGGATTGTCAACCGATAATCTGGGGGCCTGAGATGGATTTTACGTTAGTTTGAGGAATGTGGGCCTGGGCAATAGCATTGACTAAGGGTCGGAGGATTGGGGTGCGAGTGGGCAGGCTTTAAGAAATGCTTTGGACCGCACTAGCAGGAACGACTACACCAAGCCAGTGCGATCGCACGTCGCTTGGTCACAGCATGCTATGTACAACTGTTTGTAACTCCGAGATGTGATTGAGAAGCTTCCTTGCTTCAGGATACTGAAGAATCATAGTACTCAACGGCTGCAATCTTGCGACATGTTGGTACTCTCGTCACTTCAATATCGAATCCAGAAACACAGCCGTGACAGCACCCATGCGTTCATAGAATTGATGTATTTGCTCTAATCTGTAAGCCCCTTGCAAAAGGATGTCTTCAATAAGGGGGTCGCTTTACCCTGCACGCCGTCATTGTGGTGAATAACTTCGGGTGAAGCTTCCACGTGACGTGGAGGGCTCGGAGCAATGCCTTGTACGAAAGCAGCTAAGCCCAATGTAGCTTTGCCGCCAACATCCTCAGACCCTGAACAGTCAGACTCTAAAGCCCAAAAAGGCAAGGCTCGAGGATCAGGGTCTCGAATTGCGCATTCGAACATAGCCGAAACAGTGGGTCAGGATTCAGCTTCTGAATCGAGCATTTCGGCAGCAGCTCAAGCGTTGAAATGCAATCTGCAGATCTGCTCTCGGCTAGTTATGCCCGTTGTGCATCACGGCTGTCTAATTGCTGGACAAGGCACTTCCAACAAAGCGGCATTCCGGCCTGTTGGTGGGAAACGGTCCGAAACCAGGGATCCACATGCTGTGTATTGCACCGTGTGAGATTGGGAAGGGTCGTGGGTTTGCATCGGAATGTGTAATATCGCATGTTAGACGCCAGACTACACAGAAGGCTCCTATGCGGATAAGACGGTGAATCATCCCAATCACAAACATGAAACCCATTCTAAATGCCGCCCAAGTGACCACTTTCAGCTTGCACAGATCCTGTGCTGAGGACTCCTACTTCCGCACCCGAATGCGCAGGACCCGTCACTCTGGCTTCAGAGGATGCAGATCTCAAGCCTTAAACCCTAAAATCCTAAAGGCCTTAACCCCCAAACCCTAAGCTTGAATTTTTTCCAGCTTTTTGTTCCGTGAATTTGTGGGTGAGGTTTGGGCGAATCTCCTGCAGGCTTTCATTTTTCAGGGCTCAGGGTTGCAGAGCCAGAATGGTGAAGGATTTTGGCTTTTGAGCTAAACCGCACACCCAGACCCTTGCACGGTGTAGAATCGTCTAGGAGTTTAGACGGCCACAGCTTAAGAGCTGAAGGATAGACTCGCCACGGGAGTTGCAGCGCTACCCCGGTTGTCACAACGACAGCGGAAGGCAGGAGCTTGTAATATGCATCCGAAAAGGTTTAAACGTTGCCTAGCAGGCCAAACGCTAAACAAGCCTAATGTGGGATTTTGACCTATATACTCCCTCTCCCCTCTGAGAATTAGGAATAAGTGCCTTGGAATTGTTTCCGATTGGTTCCGCCCTCTGCAATCGGTCAACCGAGTTAATCTTCGGTTTATGGCTTCTGGTGCCTCAGAGGTTTCTGCACTTTGCCGGTTTCTGGAGGCTCCACAGGTCAACACTCGAAACAATTTTCCGGCACCACCACAAAGACACGCACACACACACGACTACAACAACGGCTTGAACCATGGACAAAAAATGGCATGACGTCCTAGATAAAGGTAAAGCCATTTGGGTTCTGGTAATTGCCCAGGCTCCATCTCCGACCATCCACGGATAGATTTGGCATGCTCCTGTCCCGGGGATTAATTGGAGAGTTCTGAAGGTCCTTACAGCAAGGATCCTGTAATATAGGGGCCTGAATAATTAGAATAGGGTTCTGGGGTTCCTTATTATAAGTATGGTATAATATCCGTCAAAACCCGACTCAAAACATTAAGGCCCCTAGATCATATATATACTCTTCAAGTTAAGTATTGGGGTTCGGAATCTTCTGAAGCTCCCAACTTTTGCCCCCTGGGGTTTCAAAGGGTCCTGTGGGTTTGTGCAGGGCTCTTTTTTGAGGGGATCCACAAAAAGTGGCAGGTTACCCAGCGGACACCCGTGATATGGAAGCCATTCTAAATCCTGGTTTCTCTTCGAGCATACGTTGGTGCATGTTTAAAAACTTCGAGACAGAGCTTGGTAATGTCCGAATCCGCACCTCGGGCAACAATAACAAAAACTCTGACCACTTCGCGATGGAGCTCTTTTGTGTTAATAAGGCCTGAGCCCTGAGACTAGCCAATCAAACCTAAATCCCGAAACAGCACTGGGGCAGTCCTACGGGTGCCTGCAACATGTGCTTCGACCCCGGAGGTGCAGAAAGCAGAAGCTCTTCTACGGAAAGCTTAGTTGTTTGAAACCTCAAGGAAGACGATGCAACAACATGAAAGTGTCGTTGCTTCATCAAACGCTCCTTAGCGACTGCGACGTGCGGCGAAACGGGGCCATAACTAGCATGCGAGTTCGTAACTTTCGGAACTCTCAACCCGAATAACAAAGAGGATGAGGAGTAGTTCATGTCATGTGAGGCGGCAGCTCCGAATCAGCTGAGCAGCTCCACTCCCTGGAAGCCTAATTAGTAGTAGCATTAGTGTTGATACTAATATTGGTATTAGTACTAACATTAGTATTAGTATTAATATTAGTATTAGCAAATTTCAGTCCGGAATCCCTTATTGGAGCCCTCCAGCGGGGCCTTCTCGGCCCAGTCAGGAACTTCGTAATCCAACCAACTTTCGGCCTGTCTTGCATGGGATGACTTGTGACAAAGAAGAAAGGTTCAGGGTTTAGGGTTCAGGGTTGGGTGGTATAGGGTCTAGGCCGGTTTAGGTATTTTTTCCCCTCCTACCTAGCAAGGACAAAGCCCGCATTGCAGGGTAACTCCGGTTTAGGTATAGGGCTTAGGGTTGGTTCGCCTATGCTTGCAAGTGAGGGTAGGGTGATAGTAGAATAGAGACGACTCGACTCAAGGATCAAAGGCTCTCAGGCAGGTCTCTTGATGCCTGCATGCGGGAGGGCACTCCGAACTCTCATTCGAATATAAACTTCTTGAAACTCTAAAGTTTCTGAAGCAACCTTACCCTAAATTCTGAATGGCTTGCGCACGCAGTCAGGCAATACCGGTTTAGGAGTTTCTGATTTGGGGGCTTCGACTCGCTTCGACTCTTGGGTCCCGTAAACCTCGCAAGAATGCGAGAACTCGTAGGGACAAAAGCAATGGCCACTTGACGCAGTTTCGTTTTTTCCTTTCAGTTTCGTTTAGGGTTTAGGGTTTAGTAGAAAAAGCAACAGTGGGTTCGGAGTTGCTGTAGTTCAAGAATGTCCGTCTGCCACGAAAGCGTCAGGCCCCCGCAAGGGCCCGAGGTCTCTCCCAAATCCGGTTCAGAAAATAGGGACCCTAATATAGTACCCTAAATAGTAGGATCCTTATTATAAGGACCCCCAAATAAGGACCCCTCATTTTCAGAATTTCGCCGGCTCCTGGGGTCACACGGAACTTGAACACGGCTTCTGCCTAAGACGTCCGCAAAGAGACTTCACTTGAGAACAAGACGCGCAATAAACTCCATGATTATTCAGCAGTTGCCTTAAAGGGACAAGGGGTGGAGAGCTTCTGGGTGATTCTGCAGATTCTGCAGCGCGTGCCTTGTTGGGTATGTCCCACAGCATCCTGGCAGTGCAATCGCAAAAAAAACGATGTGGTGCTGCCAGGAGCACGTTGTCTCTACTCTCACAGGCAAAGGACATTCAACTGCTTTGCACTTGAAGCAAAGTGCTCAGTCAGACCGGCAAACACGCACCGGACATACCCATAGCTTTGTAGCTCCTACTGAGGTCTACGTCAGATTATGGAGATACAGACCTGTACCAGCTTGAATGCATTTTCCAGCGGTCATCATCGTACATCTGTGGTAGATCCTGCATCTCCAACAACCTTTATTCAGCATTTTCCCAGCTGAGGCACCGAAGAATGTTGATGCCTGACGACGGGCATGCAGAAGAGAAGCAGCTTGAGGTTTCAGGGTTTCGGGGTTCAGGAGTTCGGGGTTCAATGGTTAAACGGTTTGGGCACCGGGTTTTAGGCACTTGCACCAAGTGCAAGTGTTGTGTGAGCGGTGAACATACGGCTCCTCAGCAGTGCGGGATCCCAGTACAATACCACACCGTTATGATTCATGATGGAAACGGCGACTCATGTACGAAGATGTTACTTATGTTTACATATGGTCTGTTCACACCACCTTGCTGGATTCCAAGACTGTTGAAGGAGGTCAAGCGCACACTTCAGATGCATCTGACAAATGCAGCACCACCATCTGCAATCTGCGTAGGTTTTCTCAGTTTGTCGTTGCACAGCCAGCTGTTTTCACACCTGGGTCTTGCATGTTAAGAACCAGGGTTTACCGTGCTGCAGTCTCGTGCACAGCCACTGTGAACCCTGAACTCCAACCACCCCATGAAGCAACGCGACACTCATCTCACACTCATCTCATAAGCCCTTTTCTGTTTCCGACTACCCCCAAGCCATGAACCCGAGAGGAGACCCGAAGCCAACGCAAAACTTGAAGAACTTTATACATCCCTACAAGCCTGTCTGTAAGCCCAGATGGAACCTCCAACCCCCGGCCAGAGGCCCCGGCTTCCCACAAGGTCTCCCAGGAGCGTCGCGGTGAAAAGGGCGCAGCAAAGCCACCGGCACGAGTAGCTCTCGATGCCGTACCTCGATTTTGGGCTTTGGTTTATTGGGTTAAAAGGATCTAGGTTTAGGGTTTAGGTTTTAGGGGTGTAATGATAGGGCTTGGGGTTGAGGGATGCCCAAAAGGTTTCTGGATTCTAGCGTTCGCGGCTCCTGAACCAAAACCCTCAACCCGCTAAGGTTTCGAGGTTCAGTGCTTCCGAAGCCTCAAATTTGAAACCAAGCCCCCCCCCCCCCCTCCCTCGGACGGCAAAAAGCGAAACCCTAAACCCTAAACCCCTAAAACCCTAAACCTCTAAACCCTAAACCTTTTGAGGCCCAGGGGCTCGCCGGGGTCCACAAGCTCTTGAATCTCGGCCGCCTTCTCGGGAAACACTGCTTTGAGTGCATCCCGCACCTTGGAAGTACTGTACTTGGAGGGTCGGGGAACCCCAATTAGGGTCCCTTTTGGGGTACTTATAAGTCTACTTACTACCTACTTACTAAGTCCCGGAAACAAACTCGACCTTGAACTGCCAAAAACCTGCTATTTTGCAGGGTCCCTATAATTTCCATATTAGGGCTGATAATAGGAGCCTACAGTAAAGTAGGTTATGGGGGCTTATGTAGGGACGCGGGATCGTTTATACTAAGCTCTATTACATAAGGGCCCTTTTGCAGCGGGCTTGCTTCGTCGCCCGGGGGCTCCCTCGGCTAAGAACGTGTAACCTGAACCCTAAATTACTAAACACTGAAAGGGCCCTTTTTGCAGCAGGCCTCGTTGTCCAACTGAAAGGGCCCTTTTTGAGCACGGACTTGGAGTTCAGTGCCCTAAACCCTAAACCCTCAGATACTGCGAAGGTTCAACCCAACAACTGTACAGAGTCTGCTCAGGGTCGTGCTCTCACATGCTCCCTCTTGCTACTTTTCTGCACAAACTAGCGTCGGAACACCGAAAGGAGCCTGTGAGTTGCTGAAGATGGTGTAAGAATACTCTTCTTGCCTGTTCCTCTCTTGGATACTTACTACTGCCGCCGACAGGCAGGAACGATCAGGAATGCTACAACTACGACCACCACTACCACCACCACGACAACGACGACTACTACTACCACTACTACCACTACTACAACTACCACTACTACCACTACTACTACTACTACTACTACTACTACTACTACTACTACTACTACTACTACTACTACTACTACTACTGCTACTGCTAGTCGTGCTACTACTGCTGCCACTGCTGGTGCTGGCGCTGCTGCTGCGACTCCTGCTCCTAGCCCTATAGCCCTAGTCCTACTCCCATTACCACCAGTCACTACTACTACGACTAATACCACCACCAGCACCTCCACCACCACTACTACTACTACTACTCCTACTACTACTACTGCTACTACTACTACTACTCCTACTGCTACTACTACTCCTCCTCCTCCTCCTCCTCCTCCTGCTGCTGCTGCTTCTACTGCTACCATTGCCTCTATTGCAAATGCTGCTGCGACTTCTGCTGCTGGTACTCTTGCAGCTGCAAAACTCCAGAGCAAGGCCTCGGCCAGGAAGTTCTGCCAAGGGTCGTTGTCAAAATTATGGTCCCTTTTTGGCTCCTTAATATAATATGGCACCTAATATTTAGGATACCCAAGAAGGGGACCTTAATTTTGACAACTACCCACATGCTGCCAAGGGTCATAGATGCGTGTCGACCAGACGCTCCAGCTGTAGATACGTGCAGGGGCGTAGGTCGTCCCACCTGTGCGGCTGATGAAGTGCCCAAGCCCGAAGGTGGGTTGGATACCTAAATATACCTCCGCCTGCTCAATCACTATCAGAGAAATTAACCCAGCCCGCCGGATCCCATGGGCTTAAACCAACCTCCCTCCACCAAGCAACCCACCTGGGCCCACACAGTTTGGCCCAGTGGGATCGTCGACGCAGTCACCAGCACTTCCTGCAATCACCGTGAATCGAAAACGCAACTGTCAGAGCTCTTCTTACTACCATGCTTATTCCTGTTTTCGAAGCGACGAAGACAGCAGAGCAGTATGCGCACCCAAACGGATGAGGGCTGCTCTGACTGCAGGCCAAGAAGAAAATGCTGATGACAATGAGGATTGACGTCGAAGATGATGGATGGCATCATGCTGTAAGTGACATGGATGAGGGTCAGAATGACGGCTGCGGCGAAAATGGCAATGGTGAATGTCATAACGACGTGGATAACGTGAGACACAAGGGAAATCGCACCATCCAGTCGTTTGCAGGGTGGAAACGAAAACTGAAAGTGAGAGGCGTAAGTCATGGCAACGATCGGGGTGATAGCAAGTCGAATGTTGATGGACTTGAACATATCATCGACGTCATGATTGTCACGCCAGCATCACGCCAGGCAAACTTGACGGGGAAGGGCTTTAGAAGTAAGATGGGTGAGTGGGGTTGAGTGACGGTGTTCTTGCGGATGTGTTCTTTGATGCCTGATTGACAGAAACAGGCTATCGGAGCCGCAGTTCGGCACCTCTACAGCAGAGGCTAGGCCAGGCTCCGCAAGCGGTGATTGTAATTGCCTTTTAATCCCTAACCCAAGTGTTGGGGGTGTCGGGTTAAATGCAGCTCAGGCACGTCCAAAATCGCATAAAAACATCCTGAGTTGAGCAGCGACTGACTGGCACGGGAAATACAAGTAACAACATGTAAGCATACATGTGTATTCTGTGGCGTATACACATAAATAAATAAATAAATAACAATTTTAATATATGTATATATATATATATGTATGTATGTATATGCACATGTATATTAAGTTCATGTGTGTACGCATGCGTGTATGCATGTCTGTATGTCGGTATGTATGTGTGTGTGTGTGTAAATGTGCATGTGTGTACGTATACGCACGCACGCACATACAAAAGAGAACAATAGAGGACATGCCCACAAGTGTATCTACATAGTTACATAGATGTATACAGATGCGAAAATGGGAAACAAACACGCCATGCCTCTTGGCATTTCAAGTTAACCTGCCACGTAATACGTACTGTGCGAGACATACGCTCTCGCAACTCATGCGTTCATGCTCGAGAAAACATATAACAATCATTTGAATATAGCACGCTATTACTCGCATCTGCCTATGCTCAGTTTTCTCAGCCATACAGTCTACATGCAAGACTTTGTGTATAAGCATATATGTATGATGTCTGATAAACTGGCGGCATATTCAAAAGTACCACAAAAAACGCATCTTACGAATCAGCACGCCTCTTACATCTGTGCTTATGAGGTCAAGTTGACCAAACCTGAAAAACACAAAGCCAGTTGGTACCCTCACGTAGGACAGTCTCCGCATCCTGGTTTTGGAACATCACAATCACAGCTCCCGCCACCCTCTGGGACCGAGTGGCTGCCCTGCGAAGGCATCCCACACGAGCTCTTCCTTGGCAATCCTTGGTGGTCGATGTAGCACAAGGCCATTGGCATTGACAGGTTGTCCGATAGAACTGAGAAGCATGCATGTGCTAAGTTCGGAGAGCATCAAGGGCTCAAGACAGCATGAAGCTGTGTGCAAGCGATCACTGCATGAAGCACGCCGCGCTTGCATCACCGGAGTGACATACGCAAGCAGTTCCGTGAGACTGCGAGGAATACATCTTGCGGGGCTGCCATTGGGATTACTTTATGCTTAGGGCCTATATTTTGGAGTGCTATATGGCAACCAAGAGCTAGAAGCTCGACACCTTGGCTGGAACAAAACAAACCGAAACCATACCTGGAACCCTCAACAGCGGTCTTGAAGAATGCCGTCGGTTTCCCCGAGAGCAGTGCCCCGCCACCGGAACCGCTAAGTCTCATGTGTTCCCCTGAAACGGGTTTTTTTTGCCTCCTGCATGGCTGAGTACACGAAGCAGGGAGTCAGAAAGTATACAGGCGAATTCAGCCTCTGAAACGGGGTTTAGGGTTTAGGGTGGAAGGTCTCAAAATTCATGACGTTATCTGAGACGTCGCGAGGTTCATAAGCTCCACATCCAATGCCTGTAACCGGTCATTTCTCTGGGACCAAGTAGCATGTACAGGATGAGGCCTTGGCAGATGTAGTTCACCTGAGGGGTGGGGTTTGTTGAAAAAGCGGGCTAGATGCAAAACCATAGGAGAATTGCGTCCCCTCAGGGGCGGCGGAACATGTCAAGCTGGATAAGCTTCCTTCTTCCGTGAATCCCACCTGACGATGTCATCATGACCCTGTTTATCAGTTGTGAGTGAATCTGCTTTTCTGACGCCAGGAGCCTTGTGGCTTCAACTCGTCGGGTTTATAGGCAGAAACCGTCGAGTTCGGGCGAGAACCGACCTTTCGGCGCTAGGGTTGAATACTTGTTCAGTGATTCGTGTCAACACACAGAAGGAAAACCAATGAAATCGTACTAATCACTTCTGCGACGAAATCTTCTCATGTTCAGCAACATGGATACTCCGCACATGGATACTCCGCCTCCACAAATTCTGGCCGGCATCGACGAGCTGAAAATTAAAAGGCGGCTCAGCTCATTGTTTGTCCATCCTTTAAAATATCTCCAAATCACCAGCCGATACCCTCCATGCTGTCAGGGGTGCTACTAGAAAGGTGTAGCAGCGGATGCACAAGATCACGAGGTTCTTCGGGTAGCCGGCAGAACCTGGCTCGGAAGCAGCGAAGGTAACGAAGGGAGCGACATGGACTTTTGGGTATAGATATCTTGGGTGTAGGAGAGGGGTAGCAACCAGGAGGCCCAACACGGAATGTGCAACATGCCGGGCAGGCGCGCGAGCTGAGGCATCAGCAAAGCTGAGCCATAGAGCCCTTTGTCCACCCTGGTAGTTTTGGCAGCTGCCAGAGAGCACAACTGTAAAACTCTCAGCTACGGAAAATTCAGCCACTGACGCTCACCGGAAGACTCACACGAGAACCACGGCAAGAGTACCAAAGATAATGATGCGCGAATGACTCGACCCTGATTTGCGAATTGCTGACAATTCCATTAGTGGACTCGTACAGTCGTGGAAGTGGTAGAAGGACTAGTTGTGGTAGTAGTGGAAGTTGTCGTAGCAGCAGCCGCAGCTGCAGCAGCTGCAGCAGCAGCAGCAGCCGGAGTGGTAGTAGTAGTAGTAGTAGTAGTAGTAGTAGTCGTAGTCGTAGTCGTAGTCGTAGTCGTAGTCGTAGTCGTAGTCGTAGTAGTAGTAGTAGTAGTAGTAGTAGTGGTAGTAGTAGTGGTAGTAGTAGTAGTAGTAGTAGTAGTGGAAGCAGTAGTAGGAGTAGTTGCAGTATCAGCAGCAGTAGTCGTGGTCGTGCTGGTGGGCAAGCCGCTTTCTCTTCGGGGAAATCGCTGCAGCCGTCGTCGAAGTGCTAAAGTACAGGCTCCCTTTGACAACTTTCCAGACAATTGCATCCAGACCTATTAATGGACCTAAACCCCTAAGGTCCTAAACATGCGACTGCAGCAGCACGGCAGATTGCAGTTCGAATGCATCCGAGCTGCCGGATCTTGTGGGTCTCCTTGGAGCTTGCTGTAAACTACTCTTAAACCTTAAGTTCTACTAGTCTCTGTATGGTTTTCAACCAGGGTATTGTCCAGCTCACAAGCATTTTACACAGGTGCTATGACGTGAAATGCCAGGCTGCCAGAAAGCAAGCAGTTTCTGTAGTGGCTTGCATAACCACCATATGCCTATACCATAGAAACTATGGTATTACAACATCCCGATGCCCCTAGAATAACCACTATATGGGAGTTTCCCAAAATTAAGGGTACCTTGTTTTGGGGGTCCTTATAAGAAGGATCCTACTATTTAGGGTACTACATTAGGGTCCCCTATTTTCGGAAACTCCCATATACCTATGGTAGAAACCTCCCAAAGCCCCTAGTCTCATTAGCTCGGCCTTGGGTTTCGAAACCTGCTGTTTCCCAGCAGAAGGTACGATGGGAGCACCAGGCGCCCCTCAACAAAGCTGACAGAAGAAGGTTTTAAAAAGAAGAGGGTTAAAAAAAATACCTTGTAAACCACCACTGTAAAAAGAACCGTTTTAAACACCCGTGGATCAAACAGCAATGCTTGGTGAACAGCGCACTCTTTTGGCGTCCCTCCCGTTCTTTCTCGATCGGTCTCTCTCTCTCTCTCTCTCTCTCTCTCTCTCTCTCTCTCTCTCTCTAGCTCTTTGACTCTTCGATCCAAAAATTTTCATATCCTCGGAATCAAGCGCTGCAAGCCAAGCTGCCTCCACTGACAGCGAGCCTGCTCACTGCATCAGACGCGAACAAACCCTGCCCTGACCTACCTTCTTGTCGGGCCCCTTTGAAGTCTCACATCCTTTTTGTTTCAGTCATAAGCTGTATATGACAACCATACAGTGGGTTCTCTTTCGCAGGTTCAGGTACCACCGCAAGAGTGCCACTGAGGTCAACAATAAGGCCTCCATGATCAACGTAAGGTTTCGAAATACATTACCCCCGACATGTTACAGGGATGGCAGGCACTTATCTGGTCAGGGTTATATAACAGTTCACTGTAAGCTTGCAGCACGACCAAACTTCAGGTGCGAACATGTGGGTTCAAACCCCGCGGAGTCGGCAATGTGGGCTTGATTTGAAGGCTTCCTGGACTGTGTGCATCCGGTTTGTTCTAAGCCTTGACTTAGGAAATAAACGATGCTAAGGAAGATTCGGGTTGAGGGTGAGCATTGCAAGCAGTACCTCAAGCGGCGGGGCCCTCAATTTGAGAAACTGTCACGCGTGTAGACCGGTACCAGCGCGGGAAATGTGCACATCTGAGTGCACAAATGCGGTTGCGGAATGCTTTTAATGCTCTTCCTGTTGCGTTTTCAGATGGGGCTGTTCCAAGCTGAGCGATTACAAGCAAGGCCGTTGCTTGCAAGACTGAGACGCAGAATCCGAATCTCTGCACCGCAAATCCACAAAACCAAGCACCGCAGGATCTAATATAAGAGCCTAAACTACTAGAATAGGGGATTCTACTATAATTATGAGAATGAACCACCAAACTAGTATTCGTAATCATTTAGGCCCTTGTATTCATCTCACAAATCTCACAACCCTTACCTTCTGAATGAACCCCTGGTCACGGGTGCCTATGAGCTTAGCAGCGGCCAGCTTTGCTCGCTGCTGCGCATGAAGCCTGCCATATGGGTAGTTGTCAAAATTATGGCCCCTTTTGGGGCACCCTAAATAATAGGTGCCGTGCTACAAAAGAGACCCAAAAAGGGACCATAATTTTAACAACCACCCATATCGTATCGGGTCTTGATTTCGCCACATCACGATCAGGGCCAGCTAGCTATGCAGCTCTTCGGAGAAGGGAAGTTGCTGCAGGTCGCAGGTGTCAGCAAAACGCCATGCTGCGGAATTCCAGAACCCAAACCTCGCCGGCCCTCCCTTCTTGCAAGCGTCTTTCCGCAACTAAAGCCGGTAAGATCGCTAAACACCGAACCCTGAGGCGTAGGGTTTGGGGTAGAGCTCTACAGCCTTCACCTTCGAAGGTCCTAAGCACCCCCCATATGAACTCCTACAGAACCAATGACCAAGCCCACGAATTACAAACCCTCAAACCCACAGCGTCCTGAATCTCCCAACCTTAAACCCTGCCCAAAACCACCGACACGTCCAAGTTTTTTTACAAGATTCGAAGCATCCCGAAAGCCAAACATCAAAACCTGAGCAGACCCAAGCAAAAGGCCCTGAAAACCCTGAAGCCCTCGACTGCCACACCCTTCGCCCTAAACCCGAAACCACAGTTTTGCCACTGGGCTTGGGGCTAGCCACATCCTTGCACCCTAAACCCCCTAAACTCTAAACCCCCTGCCCCCTAAACCCCCGAACCCCCTAAACCCGAAAAACACTTCCTTCAAGGCAAAGGCTTTGCCTCTCGTCGTCATCTTCCGGGATCTCCCTTCGAGGAGCGGCCCATGTGAGGGTTTCTTCAAAGCGGGGCCCTCAAAAATACTGTAAACATGTATGCCTAGGTGTATATGTGTGTGTATGTATATGTGCATGTGTCTATACATATGTATGTATATATATATATATAAGTTGTGTATATTTGGGGTTCGTTTTGTCTCCCACTTGGCTAGGACGAACACTACATTTCGGGTTTAGGTTAAGTTGTTCAATTGAACAATACGGACACATGCTTTCCTTACCATGGTACGTAAGTTAGGAGTTTTAGATTATAAGGGCCTTCATGTAAATCCCAAATCTCGGAACGGTACGTCTTTTCTTCGGAAGCCTCCATAAAAGCACCCCAACCCCATTTTCTCAGCACCTTTGTCAGACCCTAGCACCCTAAATTTACTGAAACACCCAACCCTAAACCGGCAACCTTAAGCTCTCAACCCTCAAGCCATTAAAGGGGAGGGGGGTAGGGGAGAATGCGTCCTCAAATAAGCCCTTTTAAGTTCTTATTACAGTTATAAGGCCCCCTGAGGCTCCTTATGATCAACCCGGAAATTCCTGCCTGTCGAAAACCAATTGGCCAGTCCTGGCACGTGCGCTGCAGGGCCAATCCTACCCGAAACTAGAAGACACTGAAAGCAATATGGGGGTTTCCGAAAATAGGGGACCCTAATATAGTACCCTAAGCAGCGGGATCCTTACAATAAAAGTCCCAAAATAAGGTACCCTAATTTTTGGAAACTCCCATATGGACATGCATAATTATTCGAGTTCAGAAGTTCAGGAGCCTGCATTAAAAAATTGTCGGGGGTGTCTGAATTCCAGGTTCCTTGCTCTTTCGGAATGCCTTCCTCAACTCTAGACGGAACGCTTGTATTCCGTAGCCTGCACATGAAGGGAGATGAGGACCACGTCACTGACCCGAAATCCTAAACCACAAACCATAAACCCAATTATTGAGGTCTTCTTGTTGAATATAGGGTAATTGCAAACCCGACAGACATGTACTACTTCGACTGAGGTTGTGCATGAAGCAACTACATCTAAGCTTTGTTGCAATACCACTTGCAAACTTACGACACCACCCATGTGCAGGTCATCAAGCTACTGAGGAATATCGCACCAATGCTGTAGCACTAGTTGTAAGATGGTGACGGTGGCGATGTCCCATTAACAGTCACACTGTACTCACCTTTTTCCAGCACCTGCAACACAAGGGCCAATCATCCCACTCCACCACACTGTTCATCAGGGTCCTTCAACTTGCTCTCATCTTCTCCCCTCTCCCCTGCCCAACCCAGCCTCTCATCGCTGCGCATTGCTGAACACCCTTCTTCGAGGGCAGCTTTGTAGCTCGGGCTAGAAAACACAGAACCAGGTGTCTCTGCAGTGTCTGGTGTGTCGCCAGTGCGTTTATCCTGATGGTAAGTCTACCAGCGTATCCGAACCCAAATGTAAGAGAACCCAAACCTTAAACGAACTCCTGCAAAGGGATCCATGTTTGCAGTCTAGGAGGGGGCTCTTGAATGGGGCCAAAAGGCCATGAGAACCCAAGCCGTGTAGCCTCTAGGAATTGACAGCCTAGGATGAGATGTAATGCAGCTGCTGCCGGGCTTGATGCTACCGGCTGCGGACAAGTCAGTCACAAGGTCCCTAACGTGTCGAATTGCTCGGAATTGCGGGTCTCCAGAAGCCCAAAAGCCTCATTCCTAGTCCAATAATGCTTCTCAAACCGGGGTTACTTACAACGGCGGCGAAAAAATACGTGCGCGTTCTCTTACAGACGGTCTTCCGAAACCACATCATTGCGACGTCACTTGCTCGTGCGGAGCAAGCAGGCTGAACCCAATCAATATGGGAGTGAAATCCAATGG